TGCAGAATCTGCAGTGCAGATCGCGGCTAGCGATCCTCCGCTGTGTCTCTTTTCCAACGACGCGTGTCTCTCGCTCGCTCTCTCTCTCTCTCTCGTTCTCCGTTCCCGTCGTTTTCCATGGTGGCCAGCGTTATTGTCCTTGTCGAAAGCGGCCTCTAGAATCGTGATCGGCAGGTGATCATTGTCGGTCCCGTTTACGTGGCTGGCTCTGAATTTCTAATGGCGAGCCAGCGCGCCATTAATTAGAAGGAAACAAAGGGGCACCCATCGGATTCGAGTGCTTCGACGACCGCGGGTATCGACGACCTGGCATTTTTCAGAACGCTTGTCCCACTGAAATACATATAACTCGAGCAGATAAGATCCCTGGGTTCGGTTGGATATTGGATTGGTTCGGTGTTTGTTCTTGTTTATTGGTATTACTTCTTTTGGACAGTGTCAGGTGACACTACTCTCGAGATATTAGAGTAGGGATGTTGTTGAATTTATCAGGATGGATTTCTGGAGGCTTGAATCCTTGGACTGCGAGTGTGCTGACAGGATGGTGCACCGACTAGTGAGCGGGACTTGAAGAGTGCAAGTTGCAGTGAAACTTGTGCAGGTATGAGCAGTGACACTACTAAGGAGCGTTGTAAGTCCCAGCGTTAAAATCTCTAGCGTTATAAGTCTCAGCGTTGTAAGTCCCAGCGTTATAAGTCCCAACAATCCCAAATGTCCAAAACACCCACTCGGAGGGCCACACCGAGTTTCCACCGTCCACGAAAAAAAGGATCCCGGTGTCGTTGCCTAGCAAACTCGAGCGTGTCCTCCAGCGATAAAGCAATTAATGCAAATCGTCATGGATAATATCGCGCGATTTAGAAGCTGTCCCCGGCCCCCCCCCCCCTAGCTCCGTAATCGCGTAACGTGACACGCGCCGCCGAAGTTCCAATTTCGCGGGGCTGAGATACGCGAATTGGTCCCTCGCGTCATTGTCCCCGGCATTGGTGCACCGTTTCGCGGCTATAAATCGAGCACGGGCATCGTTTTATCTGCGGACACCGCTCGTTTGTCTCGGCAGCGACGAGACGCGAAACGCCGCGGTAACATGAGCATCCTCGGGCCCACCATGGCCGAAGGGGGAGGGGGGGGATGGTTTTCTACGACAGGGGCCGCGAACGAGTCCACCCCACGGAAATCCTAAACCCGATCGCGTTTTCAGGCCTTGTACCTGTCACCTAGTAATGTCCCAGCCGGCGGGAACGCGCCACCTGGAAAATCTCTGCTGGCTGAACGTGTTGCGTTTCTGGCGCAAGGATGAAAATTGAAGAGGATGTTGAGCTCTGAAAAGGGGCAGGTTTCGGTTTCTTACCGAGGCTCTAGGATGCGCTGGTCTCGGCCGAGTCACGCGATTGGGGTGTTGTTTACTAAGGAGTCTTGCTTATGGTAGCACCTTTGATGTAGGAACGTAGAATTCACAAGGATTCTAATATTACTACTAGCAGTTGAGTTATTTGGAAGGATCTTAACGTTGCTAACAGTTGTATACATCTGATAGGACCCTAAGGCTCCTAAGACCACCGATGGTCGCTTCATATATCAGGAGTTTAAGGTCATTAACAGTGGTTCCATCTATCAAGACCTTAAGCTCCTTAGCGCCACGTATAAGGACCTTAACCTCCCCAACAATCGCCCCGTCTACCAGGTCCCTGACCTCCAACCAAGCAAGCGTATCATCTCTCGTTTCCTCAACTTCGTGATCCACCTATGAAGCCACTCGAAGAATCCCCGAGACCAATTACACGGATCCCCCTTCGCTGCGAAGTTAGACGATTCCCAGCTGCCGCGGTGCACACACGGCGGGCAGCGTGAATCAACGATGGACTGACCGAATAACTAGCGATTCGGGCCAAGGTTTCGGGTGCAACACGTGTTTGTCAGCCGTGATACAGAAATAAAATACGGCTCCCGACTGTGGCTCGGTGTATGCACTCGCTCGCAACGATGCCGCGATAACTCGTCGCGGGCCATATCGTTTGTCAATGAGACCCAGAGGAAAAAAGAGAGCCAGGTGGAGCGGAGTGGGAGATACGCGGGCACACGTAGCGCGTACAGGACGCGCCAAAACATTAGAGAAATGATGCAAGGGGTAGCTAACGAGTGGCGTCTCCATTACCGAAGAATTAGCATTCTATTGGAATTTATTGCAAGAAATCGGTATGGTTCGTCCATCCGATATTTTTATCGTTTCTTTAACACGTTTTCGTGATCCGAAAAATATTTTTTTTTTTTGCGTCTATCCTAAAAGTAATTTGAGTGAAATTTTTAGTCAAAGACGAGTCAGTTAAGGGAGGTAATCAACTCGACGAACCCATTTTCTTTGTTATTGTTTGAGCGATCCACCCTTAAAATGTCTACTCGCCTGTTTTGGTACAGCCTGTATACCTGTAGAGAACAGAGGAAAAAAGAACACCCCGGGAAAGAAAACACACAGAAATAAGCAGGCCGGGTATTTCGGCTACCCTGCTGCGTGAATCACGGATCGTTAATAAATTTCGGTGAAAAAGAAACGCTCGCATCCGGCGTCTTCCGGCGGTGGACTGCAGATTCGCTGGCGCAGAAAATGGTAAAAAACGAGCCCGCGTGTTCGGCCCTTAATGTTTCAGAGTTGGCTCGGTTATTGGGCGCGTTCTTGCTCGCATGCTCGCGAGACAATTTATAGTTGTCGAATGTGGTCTAACTTGAACCGCGATGGACGTGGTCGTACTCGAGTGTTGACGAAACGATTTAAGAGCGCGTTCATTTTTTCTGCTAACGAGCAGTACGATTTTTGCGATTTTTTTTTTCAAAGGAACCACCAGCTACTACGAACTACGATTTCGTGTACGTGCACGATCATCTTTGGAAAAAGATGTACACATTTTTCTGGATGGAAAAAAAATTGATTTCTGTGAGGTTTTTGTTTAGGAAGCGACAAAGTGTCTTAACTCGCCAGTTTGCTTACCTTCGAAGACCTACGAATTTTTGGAGAGTTGTGTCTGTATATTTTTTAAGGAAGCGTTAGGTGTTTTAATCAAAATTTGCAATTTCGTTACAAATATTGATTCGGGCTTAACCAGAGTGTTAGTGCAATTCAAGGAGCGACGTAGCAGGACGTGTCCGGGACAGTATCAGCGTGATGTTTAACAAAAGAATTTTATTCTTTCTCAATTTACGATAACAAGTGACTAGCACTTAAAATACAGCGATCGATATCGGTCAGAATTCGAAAACCGCATGACACACTCACGCCCGTTAGATTCTCTAATTTTCACACGTTTTGGAATGTATCGATTAGGCACGCTCTGGAAGCACATTCTTTCATCCTTCCCTAACGCAGCTCGCAGGGGAACCTTTTCGTGAATATTCGTCGTGCGCGTTTACTTTTTTCGCTCGTTTACGAACACGCGAACACTGCTCGGTGGATCGCAGTGCAAGTAGAAAAATACAAAATAAAAAATTATCGAAGACAGACCGCGTCGAGGAAGAAAGATATATTCACAGCACTTTCGAGGTTAGATCGGAGCCAGATCGACTGGCTGCTCAAGGTCACTGAGGATTTACCCTCACCACTCTATTTCGAGTCTCCTCGATAAAAAGACATAGAGTAAGAGTAAAAATCTGCAGCGGAGGAAGTGGCTTTGAGCTGTCATTAAATTCACTCCGATCGTACACAGTATCTCCCAGTTAATTAAAGCCAAATTAGTACGTTTTTCCAATGTATATTCGCAGAAGCGTTACAACTGAATTGGCGAGGCTTTTGCGAGCGAAATGAGCCCAAACACGACCTACTTCGGACTATTTTCGATTACACTTTACAATAGTCTGGTCCGAAATCGCTATAATTACGTACGAATAAAAGGTGTCGGAACGAGGTCGTGTTTGGACTCGTTTTACTCGCGAGAGTCTTGCCAATTCATTCGTACCACTCCTGTAAAATAAAAAATGAAAAATATAATAATTAAAATGTTATGGAAGAACTTTTCAACTGAATTGTTTCAGTCAACTGGGAAAGATGTTGTACTCGTTCATTCGCATTCACAGACGAGGCAAAAAGGCTCTGCGAGCTCGGATGAAATATTACACCCAACACTGACAATACGAAAGGCACTGAAAATATACATACACGACTTACGCAACTAAGAACCTTAAATTCGACCGTTAACGTACGTCTACCGTAGAAAAACGAACAATTTACAAAAAAAAAAAAATGCTCCAACACGTCGTCACCGTAGTCTCCGTCAGCGCGAGAAAGAAGAAACGAAGGATAAACCGCGAATACTCGTATCTCCAAACAGTAATCTATCCTTTCGAAGGTTTGCTGACCTTATCCTCCCCCTCCACGCTAACCCCGCGACCTTAATATTTAAACGATTCCACGAATCTCTTTAGAGTTATACTCAGCAAGTGAATGTGCGCTATGTACACTTAGGCTACTTTCAGTAGGAACATTAAGGTTGTCGAATCGATTACTCGGAGCTCGGTGGTTCGATCTCGAACACGCAAACCCGTGTCTCGTTTCGTGCGATTCCGCCGTCTCAAAACCACGAGCACGATCTCCGGGGATTGGGAAGAAAAAAATGAATCGAAGAAATGAATCGATGAAAGCATCAGAGCTTCAAAAGAGAAATAAAGTCGTTGGGATGGCTGGTTTTGGTAGGAAGGAATTCTGAATGGGAAATGCTACTTGGATGACCTTAGTGCCTGGTAGAACAGTAGTCTATGTTTTCAAGAAGCTGGATCGAACTGAATGGAAAAATCAAGCGGAGTGGCTAGTTTTTAAGGAATTCAATTACGAACATACCAATCGGAAGTGATATTTTGGTGATCTCAATGCCTGGTAGAATAGTGGTTAGTTACGAAGAAGCTGGATCGAACCGAATGGTCGAGTGGTTAGGATGAAATGGACTCGTGACTTGAATTCGGGGTGAAAATTGCTCGTCGAACTAATACATTCCCCATCGCTCGACTCGCAGCGTTGAACGTCTCGCAGCGTTGAACGTCTCGCGATCGTCACCGAGCGCCGAGTAAACTCTCGAGAGCAAAACACGGCCGTGTGCCTGAAATTACAACCGGTTCGTTACGATTTGAGCTGCTTCCTCCTCCCGTTTCGCGACCAACGACCGATTCCTTCGACGTACGCGTGCGCGCTCCGAAGGATAGACCCGCGATCGAATCGTGGCTGCAGCGCTGTCCGTGCGAATGAACGACCTTCATTCGGCGGAGGCTGCGGAAATTTGAAAGACTGTCGGGTTCAGGTTCGAGGGCGACGCCAGTCTCCGCACGCGGAACAAAAGTGGGCAAAATTTTATTCAATTTTGTTAAAATATTCAATTTCGTAACATTTAAATATATTCATATATATATTAATATTTCCGTATATTTTGATGAAAGCGTTGTCAATGAATCGGTGAGGCTTCCCTGACGAAAACGAGTACCAACACGACCGCTATGATCCAAATAGGTATAATTAAAAGTAGTCGGAACGGGGTTGTGTTTGGACTCGTTTTACTCGTCGAGACCTAACCGAAACGCTGATTATAATAATAATAATAATAATAATCACAATAATGTTCGCGCGAATAAGAATTTTGCCCACCTCTCGCTCGGAGCTCGTATCCAATTCCGTGACGAAGGAACGAGCTCGGAATCGGCAATGCTCGTCGCGTTCTCGGTTAGTCCGAGTGTAAACAATAATATATCACGTGTGAAACGGTAAACGTAATTCTCTTACGTCTGAGAGTAACCGTACCGTTTCTATTTCGGACGCGTTTAAAGCTAGACCGTTCAGGAACAGCGGTCGCGCGTCCAGCGCAAGATGGCCGACGAATTCAACCCTCGAGCACCCTAAACGAGGAGAGAAAATGGCTTTGAACGCTGTACGGAGTACGTCGAAACGGGGAAACACCGAAACGGAGGTCGCACAGATCCTGCGCACTCGGTATCAACTTCGACTTCACGAGCCATTAGTCGTTTCCACGGCCGTGGCAGTCTTTCACACGGCCCGATAAATCCACTGTTCTCACGAATGTTTCTTAGCTGAACGAAACGTCTCTCAACGAGGATCTCACGCAAATGCCAAGCAAACGTCCCGACTGGCGACTGGCGGAGTCGCCCCAGACATCACTGATTTCTGTTACGCCACATCTCACTCCGAGCAACTATTGGACTCTTGGGTTGGTCACCGCGCCTTGACCCAATCCGACTGAGCCACTCTAGGTCGCTAGATCTAAAGACCATTGACCTCTTTCTTTTTTAATTTGATTTAAGAACTCTTAGACTTGGTCTAATTACCTAGACATCAGGTCTTCTTAAAATTGCATAGAACTCTTGAGGTCTTCATCGAATCACTTGGGTCGCTTAGCCTGGACACCATAGACCTCTTCTTCAGTCATTCTGATCGAGGAATGTTTGGTCTCTCGACCTAGTCACCCAGACCCATCTATTCTTCGCTGAATTTATTTCACGAACCAATGACCTGCATCAACTTCTTCGTGACTTCTTGGCTTCTTGGAGATCCTTCGTTATACAAAACTACTCCTGCGCCCTCTTCCTCATCCATCAGACCTCTGCTCGATTCGAAAGGACACTCTCCGTCTTCGAGGACCCTCGGATCCCTCGCCCACGGATCCAACGTTCCCACGTCGAAGACATACGAATCGGGAACCTTCGCCAGGAGGATCTCGAAAACGTTCATCGCGAGGAAGCCACCGAGGCTTCTTCTTGGTCAGAATCGCGTTCTCGGTGTCCTCGATCAGCGGTTCGCGTAAACGTTGCTGCTGAGAACGATCACGTCGGTTCTCATGTCCGGTTCGTCACGACCTCCGAGGAGGAGGGCGCAGAGGAGGCGTCATATGCTCAGCGAGGGCCTCTTCTTGCGGTCCTTGGTGGTGTTCTTCCCGAAGATGGTGCCCAGCACCCTCGAGACAGAGTGAACGCCCAATTTCCGGCGAATGGGGAGCGCCCGCAGGAGCTGGACCGATCTCGCCTCCCGCAGAAGCGCCTGGAACGCCAGCGCGGCTCCCGCGGGACTCTCCGCGGCGCTGACCTCGTAGAACTGGCACCCGTGCGCCAACGACAGCTGCTGGCCCTCGTCCACGCACACCTCTCTGCAAACAGAAATGTCGGGGTGCTTGTTAGGATCAATTTCTTAAGGGAAATTGTATCGTAAAATAAGATAGTTAATCGAAAATAGTGGCAACGGATTGGCGAGGCCTTTACGAATAAAATGAGCCTAAACGTGATCTACTTCGGACTATTTTCAATTGCATGTTAGTATAGTCAGTTATACTGAAATTAGTATAATTAGGTGTAGATAAAAAGTTGTCGGAACGGGGCCGTGTTTGGACTCGATTTACTCGCGAGATTCTTGCCAATCTATCGTTGATGGTCTCGTAAAGATTACAGCGAAAAATCTGAATCTCAATTTCCCTGAGCTCGATCGTATCGAATAAATAATAACAGCGGTACGAAACTGTTTTCAAGAGAACGAGCTGTTTGCGCAAAATCGTACGAAAAGTTACAAAGAAGTTTCCGGCGTGTGACTCCCCGAGGACTCTTCAAATGGAAAGATGAGTGGCCCATCAGAAAACAAACGATCGCGAGAGGATGACGCCTCTTCCGCAACACGCGGTGCCCGTAAATTCTCGAAGGGAGGTAGGGGGCGTGGAAAAGCCGTCACAGGGAACAACGGAAGTCGTCAAGGTCCATGGAGATGTTCGAAACGAGAGGACGGGTGACGACTTCTTGGCAAACAGTGCCCCAGCTGAACGGAAACGGAGGAAAGGTGAGTGAACGCGGACATATAAAGGCGCCGGAAAGAACGTTGGAGTCACTGGAATTTCGCCAGGCTGCCCACCCTCCGAGTGTTTATAATTAGCGAGGGCAGCCAGGGTTTTATAGTTCGATCTAATAGTTCCTGCTCGATGAATCGTAAACTGTTTCATACTTTCGCAAATCTCAAGACATCGCGAGTCATCGCTTCTCGCGAGAGGATGTCGAATCAAAATCTAAGGAACACGAAATATCATCCGTTTTGCACGGATTAGTGCTACGGTCGGTGCGAACTTGGAGCTTAAAAAACCGAACTGGAAATCCAGGCTCCGAGACGTCCCGATGTTCCTACACGCGAACGCTTTGGATGCAGTGTCCGAGCCGTGCAATTTTTCGGTGGTTCCCCATCCATCATCGATACCCGCGAGGGGATCGGAAGCGGATCCTCCGTCGTATTTCAGGCGCGCCTCCGTCGGCGAGGCGATATTTATGGAGGCAATTAAATTCGCGGGAACACATGATACTCTCCAAGCGTCGAAGGCAGAAGAACCGAGGGCGGAGGGTGAGGGGGTTGGGTCGACGGTGGCGCGTGGGAGGGCCAGCGCGCCACGTCTAATCGCGCGCACGAGTCGTGCATGCACACGTGAGCCGGGGTACCACGTTCACGGCCGTTAATCTGTCCCCTTTTATTTTATACGAGGCGATCCGTTGCTTTACGAGGAACGGTGTTGGTTTCGAGGCACCTTCGCGCTCTGCCTGTCGTTTCCCGCGCTCTCTCGGGGGAAGAGGAGGAGGCCGCGGAGGAAAAACGAGCGGCTCGTGGAAGAAAGATGGCCAGTCGAAGGGGAGAGGCTCGACATTTCAGTGCCTCCACGGAGCGACCTTTAAACGACGACGAGAGGCGACCGGATTACACCTGGATTGGAACAGATCCGAGGTGGTAAGACGCGACATAGTTCTCGGAAGGTGGTCCGCCGCGTCAAGTGCAACGCCGGGACTTACGTGGGCTCTTGGAAAAGCGGGCAAGAGGAAAAATCTTGGTCTATTCCAGGGATCAGAAATTAGCGGTCCTTTGTCCATCGTTTGACCAAGTGTGTGGTGCATACGAATCATGCAAATAAATGAAAAATGGAAAATACAAGAAGAGAATATTATTTATATATTATTTCTACGTATACGAGTATAGACATAGTAATATTTTTGTATATTTATATATCGGTAAATATTCGTACAATCGTTGAGACTATTCTGTATTGTTCTGTATGTGTGTTGCAATAACTTCTGCTCTTCCATTACACCCACTAATATAAAAACGTTTAACAACAAATATCGTTTTGTGCTAACATACATTTCATTTGTACGTTTCTGCTCTATTTCTAACCTCATAAAGATACGTTCTCCCGTTGGCCGACCACGAAAAGCCTGGCATGATCTCTCGATCAACTGGACGTATCCTACATAAGGATTTCCCACTTTCCCTTTTCTATTTAGAGAACTAAAAGCTGTCTAATATGAGAAGCGTGAAATGGTTTCTCCGCGAGATTAGAACAAAGTGGTGAAGATCGAGTACTAATGCGTCGTAGGAAACTTTTACAGTAATCCGACGACTAATGACGCGTATCTGACACAAGGATTTCCTAACGTTCTTTCTCTTATTGGGAGAGAATTAAGTGGCGGCTGATAGCGTGATAGCGGGGAGGCACTTGTTACCGCAGCGTGAGATAGTTTCGTCGAGAGGAGTAAAACTCCAGCTTCGTGGCGCAAACGGTGGCGTCGATCTTCCAGCATTCTTAAACGTAATTTTTCATCGATAAGTCGATTGTGTAATGTTTCGAAAATAAGTCTCGATATACGTATGTTGCATCGACGATCTCAGAAAATGAGTACTTAGAGAATACAATAATTTCTCTGTCAACAATGCGCTTCGTAGTAATTTAAAAATGCCACGTTTGCCACCTTGGCGTAGTTCTCGACGAGTGCCTCATTCTTTGATATCAAAACATTGTTCACCTACATATTCCGGCGCGAGACTTGTTTCTCCATTTGCGCGAGACACGTGCTTTCTACTTGGCGCCAGCTAAACGCTCGCGCGCCATAATTTCAACAAACCGTCGCTCGGAAAACGAAGAAAGAAACGCCGAAGCGCCGAGCAGAAAGAAAAAGCCCACTGGCGGGATCGAGGGATCGCTAGAGATCGCGTACACACTCGCGTTGCGTCACAAGTACGTGACCAACGAACCGTTCGTTTTTCAACCGTAAAGAAACTCTTTTCTAATTTTGTACTCGATTTCAATCACAACTATCGAACATATACATTGGAAGGAATTGGAGTATTCGAAAGTATCTTCAACCACTCTGTCGATAAGAATGCAGTAATGTAGTAATCGAAGGATTTATCGACAGAGCGTTCTGCGTTGCCGAGCCTCGTCTACAGACAACTCTACTCTACCGACAGGATATTCTTCCTGAACCGTGTCCCAAAAAGATTACCAATCTTCCACAAAGATTAAGAACCTCTCGTCAGCTCGAAAATTATTTTCCAACTAAATTCAAAAGGAGTACTTTCGAGCGTTTCACGCGCACGTGAACCAAGGATTTTTCAGTGCCAGCGAGACGAGATCGCTTCTTTCCAAGCGCGCCTCGTTCCTACCCAGTAGCCGTTCCAGCGGTCTTAATGGAGTTCATAAAGATTAGACCGAGAGGCCTGCCGCTGCTCGAGGGGGCTGGTGAAACCACTCTCTCGGTAGAACGAGTTATCGTCGCTTTAGATACATCCGAAGCGGCGTCCGCGAATATCGTACATCGATAAACTTATCGCGAAATATCAGCTGGCGAATCCCTCGGAGCCACGCTCGCCGCGGCTGACAAACTGGTTCGCCGTGGCTGAAAACCGCGCGCTGGAAAGCCAACGTTTCCAGCATACTGCAAAACGAACGACGCGACGCATTTTCCTCTCGTTCCGACCTGCCGAGCTGGCGTCGATTGCCCGTCACGAATTCGACTAGAGAAAGACGATCGTTGTAATATTCTGATGGCACAAGTTTCATTGGGGATGTCTCAGAAATTACTTTCTAGGAATTTTCTTCTGTGTACTCGATTATTTGAACGCCTTGGTGAGCTCCTATTACCCGAACTATTATCGTAAATTCCAATTATATGAACTATCCGTCCGAATCGATTCGAATAAATGAAATTCCACTGTACCTGGTCGGTAATGCAAAGTAACCTCGATAAAGTAGACTAGTCTCGGTAAAGTAGAGTCATCTCGATAAAGTAGAACAGCCTCGGTAACGCAGAGCAACCTCGCCAGCCCGCATTACCCACAGACTTAGTTGGCATGCTCGTTATGACCTTTTTTTCCCCTGGGAAAAAAACCAACTCAGCGTCGGTCGTTAAAATTTCTAAACACGTTCCCGCGAGACTAATCGATAACGATCGGAAACTTCACACCGGGATAAATGAACGCGCTAAATTGTCTCGCGTAAACGCGCCACGAGAGCCTGGCTCTCCTAAGTGATATTTGATGCGATAAAAAGAAGGCGCCCCGACGAATATGAAACGCCGTTTCTCGCGAACCCGACGTTAATCTGCCGGTTAGATTAACTGCGGACAAAAGGTTGCACAGTGACGAAAGATAATCCGCGGTGATTGATGACGAAGCTCGTCGAGCCTCCGAAAGGTGGAAGGTTGCAGGAGTTGCCAACTTCCTGAAACTGTTTCTCACGACGTGTTTCGAGAGCGGGAAACCTGCGAATGATTGTTCCTGATGTCTAAGATTGAACTTAGGAGAAAAAGAAACACCGACGCTCTTACCAGGAACATTATCGCGTTCCATGGAAAAGGTTGCTGTCTACCTCTCGCGGAGAAACACGATGGACGTTCCAGTGAAGGGATTGCATTAATTGCAATTTCCAGAGACTACCGCGGCGGATTAATTTTTGCAATGGTAAAATTAAACCAGCGAATTTGAAACGATCTTAGAAATTGAAAATTTTCTTTTCTTTTCTATTTTTTCATATATCAACGAACTCGACACTTTCTAGTTTGATATAAATCTACTTGTTCGGTGAAAATATTTGTTATGTCTCGTGTATTTCCCTGAAAAATTCCGACATATCTCTGAAATGCTTCGACCATGTTAATACTGGAAGAGGAGAAAGCGAATGGTCTGTGCCAGAGCCTCGTATAATTAAATTCTAATTCCACTTTGAAACTGAATCTGACACGAATCATTGCGCTTATCCGCGGACAGAAAAGCCAGTGACACGTAGGTGAACCGGATATCGATATCCCTTATAGCCGCGGCTCTCGAACAGGAATTTCCTGGGCGATCCCCCTAGGAATGCGGATCGTCGTTAGCGAAGACACGTTTCCCATTTTTCCGTCGCGGTTCGCGTCCCTATATTCATTTACGAAGGCATACAACGCCGCGTACGATCCGATGAATGATCAAACTGGTGCCACGATATCGCCATTATGACGTTTTATACGATCTGATATTTTCCGCCTTGTTCGTTTTTATTAGAGGGTTTCAGATATTTTCGTAATCTGTTTTGTCACGACTTCGATACTTGACACTGAGCCTTTCTCTAGGCTCATTTGCTTCTCCCACAAACTTTTACTAAATTTCTAAATATAATTTTTATTAGTATCCCTACGATGTATTCTACTTGTCAAGAAGAACAAAATCTCAGAAGGAACCACGTATCTCGGATGAATAGTTCCCGAGGAATGGACTGTTAAAGTTCCAGCCATTTAAACAGCGCCACGTGGCACCACCAGCTCCAGTGGGCGGAGCAAGCCACGCCCACGACTCCCACCGCGCAGCCTGATTCGCCAAAACTTTAACAGTCCGTAGCTCGAAAACTACAAGTTTGCCAGAAGTCGTTCCTTATAAACTTCTCTTTGTCTTCCCGAGCGGAACACGTAGAAACAATCAGAAACGTATAATCGTCAAATTCCAAATCGAAATTTTCCGCATGCAATTTAATCACACCCTGTGCATTCTAGCGACAAGTGTCCGAGGCTGTTATCGCCACGGCGCTCATTCCCCATTAGCTATCGGCACCGAAGTGGCATGATCTCGCGATTTGACAAGGTTAATAAGCTGCCGCGCGCAGGCCAATCTTTATCACGAACGTCGGCCAGGGTAAAAAGAACCGACTGGTTCGCGCCATTTCCTAGCTTTCTCCTGTCCGAATCACGCAACGTCGGGGCGGTGATGCACTTCGCGTCGAAAGGGGGAAGGGATGATTGCGTAAAACACAAACTCGACGGGTCACCGAAACCGCGAGTGCCGCACCTGTTTCCCAGTTAATTCGTTCAGGCGCGAAAATATTAATTGCGCCGCGCGCGAATCGCCGCTATCGATTCCCGTGCGCGGTTCTCCGTCATTCCCAGCGAGTGAAATTAAGGGAGGTTATCGTGGCCGGCGATCGCGGAACGCGCCCGTAAATTAAACGTATACGGGTGAAAGGAGAAAAACTGGGGCTTTTATGCCGAGCAGCCCAGTTGCGATTTCGAAAAAACCCGTCGAATTGGAGAAGGAAACTGCATCGTGGGGGTCGTTTGGTGGGTCGTTCGCTTTCCTGGGTTTCGATACGATCTTTGAAAGCGATCTGGATCATTTTGAGAGGGAGGATGGAAGATTACGGGAAAAGGAAGATTCTTTGCCCTAGGTGTGTGTCTAGTGATTGAGGCGTGTATTTTTGGGAGTGTTTAAAAGATGGTGTTTAAACCAAACCTGATCGGTAAGGTAGTAACCTCTGTAAGACAGAGTACTGTCGGCAATGCAGTGCATTTTCGACTAAACACTACCTACAACTACAAAAGAGTCACTCAACGTCATCCACGTTCCCCATACTCATTGCTGAGACGGATAGATAGACCAGTCCCAGGAGGATTCGATGAATCATACTAGGTCAGTTGTTGCCCAAGCTCCGCGAGCCTCGCGTCCACGCCAAAATCAATCGTCACCGTCTACATTCCTCTTCCTGCCGGTACCACATTCCTCTGAACCCGAGGCTGATCTTTCCTCCTGCCGATAATACCCGTGGCCCTAAAAGTGGGTCTAAAAGCGGTCGAGCAGTCATCGGCGGAGCCAAGTCGGCCAAACGAGGCGCGTAAACAGATCTGTCGGTGCTCGCGATCGCGTGAACGGTTTCTAGGTGAGCGACCACTCGACCACTACCGGGTGTCGTGCTCGAAACGGTCTCTGGTGTCGCGGTGCGGTCGGTGTGGCGCCTCGTTTCGCGTTTCACGTCGCGGAGAGCACAGGGCACCCGTACCAGGTCCTGAAAACGTCGACGACGACGACGATCGTCTCTCGACCGGCGTCCAACGGATGCCGAGGGGGAAAAACAGGGACAACGAGCGAGCCTGGCATCACGGTAGCCCGCTGAATCGCGTGGCGCACGCGAAATCTCGTCGCGTCTAGGAAACGTTTCGCGAAGATCTAGTTACACGGCTCTGTGTGTCTGCTCGCAGCCGCCGCGGCGACCGGGAAAGTGAACCGTCCGATTAATAGGCCGAACACGCACACGAAAGAAAGTCCATGGGTCCACGGGATCGCGATCGATCGAGTTCTGCATGGACAACGACCACCGCAGAGAGGAGAGGAACGAGAAAAAGAATTCGGATGAGAGAGACGAGTTCGAGGGACGGGATATGGCCACAGGGCGAGCGCGGTGAAGTCAGCGATTCGGGACCACCGACGAACCGATGATATTGTGATTCTTGATCGCGGTGAACAAGGACCCCCGCCAATTAGATGACAATCGAAGCCTGGGGAAAAGTGTGTCGGAGACGGGCCACGTCAGGAACGAGTCAAAAGAGACCAGCTGGACTTTGCAGTCCGGACTAGATTTATTTTTGTACTGCGAAGATTTTTAGAGGATCCGTGCCTACCAAATATTATTGTTTGGGTCGAACGTAATGTATGTGCTTTAGCGTGATTGACACGTTCACTGTTCCACGACCCATTTACGGGTCATAGCGGTTTTGACTCGGACGACCCGTGATTTGTACACGAGTCATGCCTGTATGGGTCGTTATGGAAGTGGACATGGTACGAGTGGAACCTCTGTTTAAGGACTAGGACAGTGAACCTGTTAATCGTTAAAATTAACGATACGAACCAATCTGATACTCTACTGGCAATGTACGATATACTCTGTTAGTAAATGAGACGATACTCTGCCTTACCGAGGCTGCTGCTCTACTCTATCGAGCGTACTCAGCTTTATCGATCAGGCACTTCCTCTCTTTCCCTGTTACATTCTCATCCTTCGCCTCGCTTTAAAGATCAGTGTTTGAATATCAAAATTATACTTTTTGGATGAAATTAGTGACTCTAATTGGTTCGTTTGATGATCGATTCCGGTTTTCGAATCACCGTTCCGATTAATGTCCCAATCCCCCGAGAATGTGACCTTTAATTCGCCTCAGTGCTAATCTGTTCGCAGGGGGAACTTGATTCAACACTCACCGGGCATGATCCAGATCTCTCTTGTTGCCAAGCAGCAGAGCGGTGAAATAGGATGGCAGGCGTAGATCAGCGAGCTGCTTTAGCAGTCCACGGGCCTCCTGAAAGCTTCGTTTACACGTCACGCTGTAAACGATGACGAAAGCCTCGCCCCACCGGATGTGAGAGTAAAGACAACCATTCTCCTGCAACAATAATAAAAGAATGCGGCTCGATTAGCAAACAAAGCGTTACTTTGCAGAGGGTGCGAACAATTCAAAAAATTCTATTTTCGATATAGAAACACGGTATCGTATTATTTTAAATGGAAGCGTGCACGATCATCTAGTGGCGCTTTAAAATATATTATTTTTAATGAAATTCTGGAAACAATCGTGGCTTTCCTCCACCTAGGAGATCTCGGAAGTCTTTTTAGCGTCGAGGATCGGTGGGAAGGTCAGAGGTGAGGCTACGAACGTGCCTCGAAAATAGAACGTACTCGCGGGGGAATATCGGTTTAGCCGTTTCTATTTCAATTATCGCGCGGCGATTCCCCCGGCGCTAATCGTCGCCGGATCGCCGCTCGAATTATAAACTCGCGATCGTCGCGCGGGAGAGCAAAGTGAAACGTCGACTATTCGATCTAGATCGGTGCTTTCCAGCCAACTGGCTCGGGAATGTTGATCAACTTGTTAATTAAACGCGACGATAAATAAATAATAATAATAATAAAAAAACTTCTCAGTTGGATGGGAAAAATCGAAGACGATTTCTTTGTCTGCACACTGATGGTGGTGATGTCGCGGATAAAGTGGATGATGATTAGAACGTGGATTTTATATATTTATGACTTCCAGTACTATGAAAAAATTAATATAACAATATTATTATCTCATGTGTTATCGATGTGTTTATTATATTAATTTACATCATAATTGTATAAAATCCTTGCTCTAATGACGATGACAAACCCCGTTAATCACGTTTATTTTGAAACAGAATAATTCGTTCCCGAGCAGGTGGATGCATCTTTGACCCGAAAGTGAAATCGAACTTCCTCTTTCTGTGCCTCCGTAGGGAAAACTGGCTCGAAGTTGCACGACGCTTACGTAAGTGACAAGGCCGAGAAAAATTCGTGTAATTACCGTTTCTTTTTCTTTTTTCCGAACTTTCTAACGCGTTTAGGCGTCACGGTGGTTCGAGCGTTGATGAGCACGGTAATCGAATAATTCCACCGTGAAATTTTACTTACTATAAATTCTACTGTATGGTTCTGCTGTAAATCACCGAATTCCACTTCGAGATAGCAATCGCTACCCAGATTTCAAGTACCAACAGATTCCTCCAAAATCAATAATACGATACTCCCTTTCGAGCGATTCGCAAGTCTCCATCAGTCCCCGCCGTCGTCACTCGAAAGCGGCGGAGGAAAAAATCGAAACCCAGAGTATAGAAACTTCCAGTTTGAAGGGTAATCCAGACGAAACCATTGAAGCAAGGATCCAGGGCGATCGGAAGGGGTTTGCTCTAATTGCTAATGCGTCGATCACGATGAAAAGAGCCCAGTAAGCAACGACGGCAGTGAGAACGCTTCAGGTTTAACGACCCGCGGAAGCTGTCGATTCTCGTGGCCGTTCCAATGATTTCCCATTGACCTGGCACTGACAGCAGCCCGATAATTATTACCGGGGAACAGGATCGACGGGATCGTGATCATCGGGATGGCTGTATAGGAAGGTCCGAGCGCATTAGTCTCGCGAAGGTGAACGTGACCGTGAACCTTTCGATCCGCTAAACGCCGGGGTGGCATCTGGCGACCATAATTGGTGCGACCAGTTCATGGAAACCATCCTGGACGTCTGTCACGGGGGATAAAGCCGACTTTTTTTGGCGACGAGACGAACGACGATTAGAACCTATAGTAGCTGGTGATTGATACGGGAAGCGAGACAGCTTGGGGACGGGAGAGTTATGCGAATCTTATTCGAGGAAGATGAACGAGGAGGAATTTGCATCTCAGTTCGAGGCTCGTCTTCGTGGAAACGTGGAGACACGATTTGGTACTACTATTAAGTTCATAATATTTTAAAAGAAAATTGCGAATGCTTCGATTCTCTGCTTGGCTAACTTCCACTATGCTATTTTCTCTCTCTCTCTCTTTTTTTTTTTTTTATCGTTGACTTTCTTAGAAATTTAATTTTTGACGTAGTGGGTTGATCGATCGGTACTCGAGAGAGGGTACGCGACGCAGGTAGAGAGTCTGGCTAGAGCAGAGCTACCTTACGGCTAAATCACGCTCTATATTTAGCGACAGTCGGTCGATCTTGGAAGCACTTAGGCCTGAAATAGTTAAGAGAGCAGTCAGGCTCGATTGGCACAGTTGTTTGACACGTTCGCTGTCCCCGTCAGCAGAAACGGGCGTCGCTCGCACGTCCGAAGGAACGTGTCTAGCCGTGCTACGGATTAGGGACGGAGCTGTGATAGCTTGAGATGCAGGTTCGTGAAATTCGAGCGCTGTTAACCGTACATGGTCGTACGGGGAATGTCTTTGTTGAAGAGACGAGTTAGAAACCGTGTTGCAACACTCGATGTATACAGTGTACTTGATCCATCGAGACTCGTCGAGTTTCTTACAGGGATAAAAATTGTGACGGATGAAACAATCGTGTGTATAATTCATATTGTTGTTTAAAATATCATCCAGTAGTTTTAATCGATAGAACGATCACTATAATCAGGATCTGCAGAACTATTATAAAATAATTGTAAGAACTCTTAATGATTTACGAGCTTTCACGAAAAGCGCGACCCGGCAGCTCCGCGTTTCTAATAGTCCACGTCAGCTGACCCCCCACGAGCCGCGACGACTCTCGATCCGCCAGAAATGTGCGGATGTCGAGACGGGTATACGGTTACGATGCAAATGCAGAACGCTATACGCTGTTATTAACCTAACCTAGAAACACGGCGATAAAGTCGAGCGAAGCAGGAACAAGCCAGCATAGAACGAAAACAATTTGGTTGTCGAGGAAGCGCATGCGCTGGTAACACAAAGCGGAATCGCGCAATCGAGGGCCACATTATTAGCAGACAATATCGCTATCTGCGAAAGCGAATAGCGGCGGATCGTTATCTGCGACACGGACACGAAGAAACATAACTTGGCCGAGACGATCGTTGCTTATCCCGTGGGATCGCGTGGGCGTTAAAGCGCGTGGTTCTCGCCCACCTGAATCGATTTCAAATGGACAGCACGACCGTCGCCAGGCTCGTTTCGTCCTATCCGAGTGTCCTGTTAACGGTCGCGCCGTTAAAAGGGACACCAGGGCCCTTTTCGTCTCGCCCTTTTACGATCTTCCGCGTGTTTCCCGCGCGGCAGCTCCCCCTCGAGCTTTCGCGATTAATCGTTTACATCGTACAGAGCTATTTAAAAAGTATACTCGTGCGGATTAAACGAAAACAATAGGAGTTACAACGGAATCACAAACGCGCCATCTGTTTATTTCTGATCTCTGCTTAATTGCTTCTCATATTCTAATATAAAGTATAGGTCACTAGATTTCCTGAAATATCAGTTGTAATTATTGTTAACTCATTCGCATCGTTAGTGCACATAGGGAGAGAGAGAGAGAGAGAGAGAGAGATGTTCCCCCAGTTATTAGCGATGATTATTGTCAACGCGTCGAGCCGTGTCGTAATTCCGCGTTACGTATCGCAACAACGGTCAACGTAATGCATTATGTTGTCATACAACTCGGCATTTCTTGCCCGGATTCCAGCGTACCCAAACAGACACGTAGCGTTGGATCATCGGGACGAGGAATCACCTTCGCCTGTAATCGGTTGCGCGGCCTTTCCAGGAATTGTTCTGGCATTTGCTGCGTCGGAATACGCACGTAAACAAAGTACCGCGCGAATCGCGAAACGTGCCGTTGCGTCGTTTCATAACAAGCGTCGACTCGCTATGGGCCGGATTCGATTTGTAACGCGAGAATAATTCGGAATGGTCGTCTGGTAGTCAAGTGGTCAGGTAGCGGTCGTAAAATGGTCGAATTAGTAGCTAAATTTTCCCACGAGTTTCGTCGAATACTCGACTGAAAATCGATCGATAAACGTTCGCGATCGCGTTGTCCTTGGATCACGCATAACGCGTGCACGAACATTCGGCGACCGAGTTTCCGAATACCTCGCGCGATGAGAACGCGAAATAAACAAACAAACAAACAACGAATTCCTCTCTCCTTTCTCGAGAATTTCCGTGGACGAGGATCGCGTTGAAGATCTTCAGAGGCCCCCACGAGCGAGATACGATACGGTCATCGATCCAAAAGTTAAATAATCGCGAATCGAGCGCGATTTCCGGTACGCCTGGTGCACTCGGAGTTACCGCGAACGCGTACCAGAGAAACACAGCCTGACGAAAATTCACCGCGTTAATGTTCCCTAGCCCGAGCGCTGGTAAATTCCACCTATCCCCCGAAAGCACCGTGCATCCGGCGGGACGGAATTTTATAGCCGGAGATAAATATATACTCTGCCGGCCAGGTATTTACGGTCGTTATTTACGGTCAAATCTGTCGAATTAACATTGCGTGTAACGTGCTCGTAAATAAAAGCCGTTGAGAGGAACGCGCGGGACGCGACGTCGAAGCGCGCGTGAAAGCCGGGGTTCTCGATTTTCACGCGCGTCGATGTTTCAATTTCTTCGGCGAGTCATTAATCTTGATCCGTTTAGGTGATAGCTGTTGTCCGGGATGAATGTAAGAACGTCTCGAGCAGAGCAATTCGTGCTAAGTTGGACAAATTTGTGTCCCTGGCGTATCGTCACAGTCTGTATTTTATCATATTGTCACTTGCCCATCTGATAAGTAGACTGCGGATTTTATGAATTTATGACGAACATAAAATGATGTGGAAGAACATACAAGAAATATGCATCGTGTATGTTGACCCCTCTTTCGAGTCAATTAAAAACCCTCACTTGAAAATGGATCCTGCTGTGATCCAACTACATAGTCTTCTGAAGCTTCCTAAAGTCTCCTAAAGATTCAGAATCCACTTCCTCGTCAGATACTCATTTGCCACGCTCTCCAAACTTGTTATCTTTTCATCGCTACTTGAAATTCTTTCCGCAGTGTAGCTTCGTCCTTTTAACGTCATCGACTCGAAGTCTGCTTCCATCGCGTCCTCCGTTGCCGAGAAAAAT